AGTGTTGTCATTTAACTACGGTACTAGTACGGTACCAGTACCAGCTGGCTTATTAGAGCGATCCCAGCTATGATATCTACTGGTCTAATCTTTTGTCTCCCTTGCTCCTCATCAGTGCTGAACTATCTTTTCTATGCACAGTCTATCGTACCTACCGTATGAAGCTTGGTACTGCTATGTATCTGCGGGCAACCATAGATTTCGTTGCAAGTGTTGATCAGGTGGATCAATCAGATTGCTCAGGTGCTATGCTAATTTGAGAATTAAGCAATGTTGTTGTCTTTCCTTTATTAAGTTGCTGCAAAGGCTGCAGTGCGGTGTCGCAAAGCTATTCCCTCTCTCTACTAGCTAGCTGATTGGGATACGATTCATCTGGAAGCAAGTATATGAGGCAGTCGAACCAAAGGCTATTGACCTCGCAGTCCCGACCTCCAAGAGCTACCTATTACCGTATGTCATAGCCAGTACGGTAGCTACCCACAGGTAGGTTTGATGTCGAACGTGTTGACCGTTGGCATTCGGGACGAAGACTCGACTCGGGAATCCGGCCACTCTTGTTTTCTTCTGGTTTGCCGCCACTGCTCCGTTTCCCACAACGAGTGTCTTACCGTAGCAATTGCAATCGCAGGCACTAATTTCTGGAGTTCCATAAGTCTATTTTGCTTTACGACTATGCTTATGAAAATATATTGTATATCTTTCAATTTTCAGTGATGCGGTACCCACAATGTGATTATTCCAATCAACGTATGCTTTTTGGGCTCTTGGTTTCAGTTGAGGTCACGGTTGTGACTGCGTTTTGTGCCAGCTTGAAGCTTGAAGCCACTGCAGCTGAACCAAAGGGCGCCACAACTCGCGTCAGCTTTTTCCTCCCATTTTCTTCTCTCGCACTTCTTACCAATTCCTGCCTGCATGGAGTAGCAATCGACGAGGTAATACATACAACCGAGAAACAATCCACACTTCCTTAGTTATCTAGATGACGGCTCCCAAAACCCCACCTCGTTCTTCCGCTAAAAACCTGGTCCTTGCTAAATCGCCAGAGCACGTACCTGAGCCGTCTACTCCCCGGAACATGTACCAAGCAAGTCAAAAGAAAAGATTCTCGATCAAAGGCCTGTTGAGCGGAGAGAGTAAGAAGGAGCGACAAGCACGTCAAAAGGCAGAAGAGATGAAGGCCAGTGCTAGTAAGAGTCCCGCCAAAGTTGACACGGAAGCAGATACGGTCTATCAGGTAGATGTAGACGATCGAACTATCTCGGTCATGTCCAACGAAACCAAGACAACCGCTGCCACCAACGATAAAGCTGTAGAAGGGTTCCTGGAGGGAGGCAGCAAGTCCTACATGCTGAAGGTGGTCCTGTTGCTCATGGACCCAGAAACACGCCGTTTTGAACTCTTGCAGCTCGAATTCGACTCGGATAAGGCACTGGTCTCGGATGTCTTGACGCAGATCCCTGTGGCTGTGACAGAGGAAGTCCTCAAAAAGCAAACTTATGTGGGAATCTGTGGAGCTGCTGGAAGTGAGATGAGTTCGGCTATTCTTCTATCGGATTTCTGCAAGGGAAATGATGTCCTTGTTGCCGTGCCGGCTGGTGTTGAAGCTTCCGATTGTGCTCGATTGGCTAAACCCATTCTGAACGACGCAAAGGTAATCAACATGGTGAGTACCAAAAGAGTTAGTTCTACGGTATAGAGCATGCCTCCTGGAGGAGTCCGGGCAGAAGGGCGGTGGTATCCGAATCTCCTGCCAGTGGTAGCTGAGTTATCGGGTGTTGTTTGATGGACCTCATGATTGCTCACTTTTCCCCCTTGCAGCTTAAAGTCAGTGGTATTGATGCAAGCTCTTGGAAACAAATGAAAAAGGTCTCGCCAGCTCCATCATCAAAGCCACGGGAAATGCCCATTGAAACGCCAAAGGAAACAACCAAGAAAGAAGCTGGAGGTAGCAACACGTTCATCCTCATCTTTATGGTGTTGGCGGCAGTCATCCTGCAAGTCTACCACAGCAAAATTACTGCACCTATTGAACCTGGACAAGTCCTCTCTCCTGGTGGCTGGATCAGTAAATGTGGACTTGCTGCGGCCATTCCTCCCCTCTGTGAGAACCAATACTTGCAAATGGGTGACGACGGAGTGCTCTCACTGTTCGATGCCAACGGAGACCTAGAATGGAAAATGGAAGGTGGCGTATGCAAGAATGAAGCGTGCATAAGTGGTCTAGAAATGATACAGGACAGCCACGTCGTTATTGGTGGTAAGACTGTGTCGTGGGTAAACGTCAAAAAGAATGCGGATCCAATCAGTCCTTGGCCCTTTGCCGAGCAACCAAAGCTGAAGGTCATCCATGCAAGAAAGTAGGGCAGGTGGCAGGACAGTTCCGTTGGTGGAACGGTGTTGATACAAAGGTTGTAAGCCTGCGTTCCGTGATCTGCAGGGAATGATGAAACGTCTGTAGATGAAGCTATACCAAACCACGATCATATCCAGCAACAGGCGACATTCCCCATGCGGAGCACACTTTCATGCACGGCTAGATTCTACAAGTTGCTGTGTTGTGTCTTATGAATATCCTAAATAATCCCCAGTAGGCTTTGTTTACATTACTCGGCATTGCATTTTCTCGCCAAACAAGAAGTTGCCAGGCAAACAACCATGAACAAAGCCTTAATGCCGACTGTTTGCCCCTGTTCTTATGGAGAGTCTGGAGTAGGGTAGTTAACTATCGAACGGAAGCCAGCAGAGGGCCAGGCTAAGGACAAGAAAAGGGAAATTCAGGACGAGCTAGGTTCCGTGGGATCAGGGGCGACAACTGGGGACAAACATGAGGGTTGAAGGGCTTGAATTTGCGGGATCCACGGAGCAGTAGCTGATCGTTTCATTTTACCTGGCTCCATTAGAACAGTAGTGCATACCGTACGGCCCGCTGCATGCAGCACAAGACGAAAGCCAAAAGATGCAGAAGATACTGTACAAGTCGCGGACAAACAAAGGTAAAAAGTGGTTAGTAAACCTTTCCTTTTGGTACCTGCTTACTGCCACATTCGCGTTTTGTGTTTCCAATACCGTTGCGCCGAACTCAGGACTGGTCAATGCCCCAAAAGGAAAGTGAGCCCTTCAAGGTGATTTCCCTTTCTAGTAACTTCTTTTGAGCCAATCCTGCGGCGAAATGAGTTGGGAGCTTGTTTGATTCTGATGGCGGTACACCGATGCCGTGCCAAATTGTAATATGCGGGAAGGAGTTCAATGGTTCCGGCATACTAGCTCCAACCAGCGATTTTGCCGCTACACGGACTGATAGAGCTGCGATCCGTTCGTTCCACAACATTCCCGTGACGAAGACCTCAACATCTTTGCCCAATAAGGGCTGGAAGTTCTGGTTGATAAGCTCTTGCGTTAGTTGAGTGTAGTGTGCCATTGTGACATGAACATTCCTCACTTTTTCACCATCATTGAAGTTGGGTCCTTCTGCTGTGTCGTTGGAGCTGAGTATTTCCTGGATGACAGAGTCTATTGCGTCCCGACTGACATCAATAGACACAATCTTGACAAACGATAGTGCAGCTTCGTCTACATCAACCAATCGTGCGGATACCTGCGAGACAAACTGTTGACAAGAGACTGTCTGCTCAACACATAAGCTGTGCAACAGGTCTCGGTTCTTCGCTACAGCTGCACGTAGTCTCGACTCCAATCCTTCAATATACCCGTTGCCACTTGATTTCTCCACGTCGGCTCGCTTGGAATCCCATCCAAACTAGCAATAAACGAACGGTACGGTTTGTCAGATGTCACGTTTTCACGCAAGAACGATGCAGCTGACGATGTCGTACCTGGGCTTGCAGAGCTTCCAGCAGGATACCTTTCATTTCCTGTGGCAGCTCTATTGACTTTCGCCGATCAAAGAATGGAACCGTAACGGGCCTACTCAAGGCTCCTGCTTTGGCCATCGTCCGGTTGAGTCGGTCTACGAAGTCATCAGATTCAACACCACGGAAAAAGGCAAAGAACTTGACAACGACCATGCAGGCATGTTTTTGGCTTGGGTCAAGCTTCCCAGGATGGCTTCCGTCATCTCGGTCCATGATGCGAGTCAAGCAAACTGCGAGATAGGCTAGAGTAAAGGGGTAGTGGTGCTTTGCATCCACCGTCGTGTCCGGTCGCTCTGGTGTCCGAGAACCTTCTACCCAAGTTGTCTCGAAAACGCCATGGCGATCTGGGATCACAGGCACTCCTCTCGCGTTTGTCGAGGCACAAATTTGTGCGACCTGATCCCATGTAGGTTTGGGAACATTCTTGTCTGCCAGAGTAATAGCAGAGGTACCTTGAAGTCGGTGTTGGATGACCGAAGGCCAAAACTTTACCTTCTTTTGCTGCTTGTCACCAGACATCACAACAAGTTTCCTCGTCTTCATCCCGGTCTGTGACTTCACAATGCCAGCAACGGTGTCTTCCAATTTCTTGACAGTGTCAGGCGCCAGCAAGGTTGATTTGCCACAGCCCGGAACTGACGCCGGAAAGAAAACTAGAAGACCGCTTCTCTCATCCACGTCACCAATACTGTCGGAAACGTCCCACAGCTTGCGTCGTGCCTCCGCGATGGACTCCTCGTTGTTCTCAGGAGAACCAAGGAAGGAGCTTGCTAATTCAATTGCAACTCCGCATCGAGTCTTCCGCCACGACTTGCTTATTCCCTTGAACTTTCTTTGATCTGTCGACACTGCCGCAAAATGGGATTCAATCTCCTTGTCGCTGCAGCCAACTAGGATCAAGGCAACATTCTTCTTTTCCGATTCCGGCAGATTACGAATCGTTTTTGCCTTCTCACCAGCCAACGTCCCCCAGCAGACCCGACCTCCGATACTTGTGCAGTATCTTAGGAGGCTTTCACGACTGATAGAGTCAGTGCCGCCTTCCAGCAGCTGAGTGCCATTCAACCAAACAGATGCAATCGACTTGGCTGCTTTCGTGGCGATTTCATCCTCAACAGCTAGAACAACCACCAGGCCCTTGAATTTCTTGCCTGATGGTTCCTGTTGCTTCGACGGTGTCGCGCCAGTCGTTGTCGAAGATTGTTGTTGCTGGTGGTAGTAGGCCTGTTCAAAGTGCATCAGGTGTTGTAGGTAGTTTTCTTCTTGGAGCCGTGGCGACGACAATGTTGTGCCCAAGGACCACTCGCTTCCGGAAAAGTTGGCGTGGACGTAGTCACCCCATGAATGTAGATACGGGAGCCACTTTTCGATCGTTGGCAACGACACTTGCCACTTATCTGTGAGCAAGTCACTGGCGTAATCCTTGAATTCCTGTGTGTTTCTTTGTTTCAGGAAGCGAATGCCATTGCGACAGCCAAACGTTCGGACCATGTAGGGAATGAACTTCATTTTTAGAATCAGCTCGTTGGCAGCATCTCGTTTGATTTCATTGTCAGCAGTTGTTTGTGTTGTTGTTGCGCTCACGGTGGCGTCGGTCCGTTTCTGTTGGCTAGGTTCTTGTTTCGTAATTGGAGAACAAATCTCAATACAAAAGCCTCGAAATAGATCCATTGCAATCTCTTGTGGGTTCTTCTTTTGTTCCTTTCTGTACTTTTGAAAGGTCCGATCTTGGTACACGTGAATCATGCAGAGCCATCGACGACGCGATTGAGACTCGTCAGCAGCATTGGTGGTCGGTTCCAACTCTGAGAAAACAGAATACTGGATTCGCATACCAAACGTTGACAAGGTTTGAATCAACTTTGCAATGTCGTTGCTTTCCATGTTCTGTTTCGGTGATGGTGCATTCCGTAAGTTGTTGCAGTAAGTGGTAAGCGCACTTTGCAGAGCGTCAGATGTAATGTTCTTAACGATCGATCTTGGACCACTCTCTCTCAGAACACTGCATAAGTCCTCCTCAAATCTCTTGGCGGACTGTCCATTCTTCGTGTGCAACGCTCTCAAGTCCACCATCAGGACTCGGGTGGGTACATTGTCATTGTTGTCTGTCATTGAGCCGGACGGAAACTCCGTTGGAATCTGTCGTAGGATCCTTCTGGACGTTTCCGCGACCTTTTGCAACGCCTCCAAGCATTCCTCTTTGGTTTCGGAAAATGCGACATAGCGAATGACGAATCCCTCGAGTATGTTGCTGTGACAAACTTCATGAGGGTACATGCTTTGAATGTTGGCGTTGGCGGCTTGCGACAATGCCTCCACGGCAGTACTGGCGAGGCCTGTTTCCCGCGACTGGTCGTAGTACTGAAACAGTTTTTGGATAGATTCCTTGGAAGAGAATACCCAAGCATCGTTGTGTGGCAAGTAGAATTTTTGAGCAAGTTGTAGCAATTCCAGAGTCGAGAAGAAGTGTTGACCAAGCCTGGATCTATCTGCCACTGCCGTCAAGATCAAGTAATCTCGTTGAGGAGTGGCTCCATGGTCTCCCAACACTGTAGTAACAACTTCAAATGATAGAGTCAATCGATGCTGTTCCACATAGTCACTACATTTATGGAACAGTGATTCTGTGTTACCACTCTCCGGTTTGACATCATCATCAGACATGATATGATCTTCACCATCCTTCTTCTTCAAGGCTTGTTGGACGCGAAAAAAGTGTTGTCGCAATAGAATTTCTCCCGAAAATGTGAATGGATTGTTGGTAGAATTTTTGCTGTAGAATCTCTGCCCGCCACTCCAAAGCAGCAACGATCCCGAATGTTTCAGAGTCACTTCGGCGTAGCCTTGATCGGATGCTACCAAGTCCATCATGGATTGACGTATGGTCTGATCGCTTCGATTCTCGTTTTCAAACTTGGGCAAGAAAATAGCCTCTAGACGAAATCCAGGAGAACCTGTCGAGAGTGCCGAAAGGAGATCCGCCTCATCCCTGTTTCTTGTCTCCACTGTGGCAGTTTCAAAGTCCTCTTGGCCACTCTTTCCCGCCTTTGAAACCGACTTGATTGGAGCGTCTTCACTTGCATCCTGTTCCACCTCTTCGAGTCTTCGCTTTCGTCCAGTCTGTGGATCCATGGGAAAAGGTGACACCACAAGGGCAGAGCAGCACAAGAGCAATAAAAGAAACAGTACCAGTGATAATGAGCACTCGAGCTTTGAAGGCATCCACTATACTAGTATCTGGAACGAGTCGAGTCCTTGGTTGTGGTTTGTGTGGTTTGGGGTTTTTGTTTTGGATCTTGGATCCTTCGACAAGAGGACCTTAACCTTAAGGGACATTCAGATCCTCACAATTTGCCGCCACCAACCGTTGCGATGAAATATTCTTCGGAGGGATTGTCACAAACATTGTTTCGTTGAGGAGTCAGTCCTCTAGAGGAAAAGGATTGCCACTGCTTGTACAATTTAGTAAATTTCGCTGCTTGGACTGTGCAGTCCACTCTGTTGAAACCATGCCACGCAGATCCCAAAACCAACAATGGCAACTCGTCACGCGAGTTTTTCTCAGCGCGTCTGTGTTCCTCTTGCTCTTCAAGGCAGCGCATTGGAACCATGAAAGAGTTGTCCGGGCATTGGACTCTACTGATCTAAGAGAAATTGCTCATTTGGGAGATGGAGGAGCAGGACAACCGCTACGATCGGCCCTTGATATCCCCCCTGGACAAGCTGTCGCCCTCCCATCCATTCGGGTTGAGCAAACGGAAGAGGAGATTGCAAGAGGACAATACGGAGGCAAAGGCGACAAGAAACATCTCGGCGGATTCACTACCTACGATGGACAAGGCGTCACTCCTCAACTATGGAAACACATGATTTCTGACTTTGGTGTCAAGTCATTGGTTGATGTCGGGTGCGGCAAGGTGAGTGACAGTCAAACAAAATGCAAGCTGGAACAACGATACATGTAATGCAACGACGTGCTCACAATTTGTTGTCTCGTACTTCAAGGGTGAGTCAATCAGCACCGGACTTATACTGCAGCAATGACAGTGCATCAATGGACTCACTGTTTGTTCTCTTGTATTGTGATTCCTACAGGTGTCAGCACGCTCTGGTTTTTGGAACATGGTGTTGACGTTCTTTGCGTGGAAGGCTCGCATGATGCAGTAGAGCAAACACTGCTCCCTGACCCTGCTTCTCAAGTTGTAGAACACGACTTTTCACGAGGACCATATTGGCCGGCCGAGACGTATGATGCAGTGTGGAGTGTGGAGTTCCTCGAACACGTTGGAAGGCAGTTCCAACACAACTATATTCAAACATTTCGAAAAGCAGCGCTGATCTTTGTATCCCATAGTCACTGGGGTGGTTGGTAAGCAAGCACTGATTTTGCGATAGGCCAGGCTCAATCCCTTTCACTTGCAAATTCTGATTGATCATTCTTGCTTATGTTTGCTTTGTATTCAGGCATCATGTGGAAGTCCATGACCATGAGTACTGGATTGACAAGTTCGAAGCATTCGGGTTCAAGTACAGCGGCCATCTAACAGAACAAGTGAGAAGTATTGCCAGGACAGAAAGCAACCAACGAGATGGTCCCTCGGGACCCGACGGAAAACCATTAAATGCACAGGTGAGTTGCTTGCTGACCATTGCAACGTTGGTGTCGTGTGGTTTTCGCAGAGAAACTTGGAAGTCTAAAAGGTTTGGTTTTGCTGCTTGTCCGTGACTACAGCATGTCTGGTTGACCATGCAAGTGTTTATCAATCCGATGGTAGCAGCTTTGCCCAAACACGCTCATTTGTTTTCTGAACATGGTTGCTTCAAAGAACGTGCAGCCAAAGGCAAGATCATTCACAAGGAGTGCGGGACGCTTCGAGGAGGCAACACCGAGTCCAAGATGCCAGAATCATTCTATCCACTCAAACTCACCGCTGAGCAAGACGAAGCTTGGCTTGCAAAGGTGAAGGCGTCAATCTCCAGCGCTGTATAGGTTCTAAATGTAAATTGTGACTTAGTTTGTTTTAGGCTTCAAAGTGCCCAAGTTACCGAACCATGCAATATCGGCTTCAAAGTGCACTTTCTTGCTATCTTTTATGGCCACCAGCATTGTTGTATTTTCCTAGCTCAAGCAACCTAGCACTCCAACAGTGCAACGCACTCTGCCAGATCCTTCTGAGACTTGAAGGCATCCACCACTTGGTCAAGCTTTCCTTTGTTTTCTTTGAGCATGCTGAATGCCTGAAGAGCTCCCCAGCGTGTCAAGTCTTGTTGTTGTTGTGCACCAATAAAGTCGTCCGCCTTTCGGAAAATTTGCTCCAACTCAAGAAGATCATTTTCCGCGCCTCTAACATCTCCATATTCCATTGCTTCTGCTACCAACCCCGACATGGCTGTGACGCTCAGACTGGCAACTTCTTCGTTACTGAATCGTTGTGAGCTAGCCGCGAATTCCACACATGGAACTCCCTCTTGCAAAATGTTGTAGTTCACAATGGGCAGACCGCACATATAACCGCACATGAAATGTGCTGCCTCGTGTCTTGCCACACGGTCGCTATCCGAGGCTCGATCAGGATCGTCTCTGTTCTTGACAGAATCAATGACCTGAGCAATGGCGGCGGGGGCTGGTAGGGTAAAAAGCAAAAGTTGGTGAGTTGTTTCAGAGCAACATGTTTTTGTAGCATTTTTTCTGCATTTTGACTTACCCGTGGATCCAATTGCAAGGTACAAAATAGGAATTATAGCACAAAGGTAGCAGATCGTAGCTCCGATATTGGGTGGCAGAAACGCCAATGCCAAGACGCCACCAACCGAAGCTCCGCCAACAACATAGAGTGTCGAGTATTTGAAATCATCCAGGGAAACCTTTTCTCCCGAGGCATCTCCAAATCCGAAGGATTCAAGTGAAATTTGAGTTCTGCTTTCCAGCATTTGCAATGAAACTGGATAAGTGCGTAGATTGGCGGATTTGTACAAGGATACACTTCCCTCTTGGCGAAGTCCCTCCAAAGTGGCGGCTTGAGCTTGAACACCATTGGCATCAAAGGAAACCTCCTGGAGTCGAGCCTGCAATTCTTCCTTGGGAAGCTTCTTCACTTTGGTTTCAGTCGCTTTTGGTCTCGCCTCGATCTTTTTTCCAAGCTCCTAAAGAAGAAAAACGATAGAAGAAACATTCAATAATGAGAGGATGCAACCCATAGTTGATCCCTTTTCTTTGATTTATAAGGAAGGGTACTTACCAGAGACAGTCGATCAGCATCTTCGCGTGCTTTGGCAGCTGCAGCCCTAAGTGCAGCCACTTCGTCTTCAGCCGCAAGATTCAATCCAACCTTACTTCGAGCAGCGACTTGGCTGGTTGGCGCCAAAAAAGCAAAGCTTCTTTCCAGGGCGAGGAACAAGAGCAATGCACGGAAATTCATCTTTCAGAGTTTTTTTTATTTTAAAGTATCGGGGGAGATTGTTTTGTGATAAATATGGACGCAGAGCTTGTTGCAATCGATGCCCTCAGCACTGATCTGGCAACTAACCACAGGGGATTGATCAATGAATCATTCCTGTATCGTCAAGATCGCTCACCGTGGTGTTGCACTGATTAGCAAAGTCGTTGGGAAAAATGAGTTCTGAACACGTCATCGCATGACTCACAAGAGTGACTGACATACCGTACCGGTCAGGCTGCTCATCGGACAACCACCAAACCAAAGATCTGGATGTTGACAACTTCCAGAATTGTTTCCGGGCCATCACTTCACTATTTCCTCCCTCGATTGATCATCTTTTAATTAGTCTAGTCTATTACACCATGAAGCTCTTTGCGCTCTTGCAGCCCCTTTTGCTGGCATTGGGAAAGAAGCCTACCCACTGGTTCTTGGACGGAAACAATATTTTGGCTCACGGGAAAACAGTCAAAGATCGAGAGGCCCTGGTCGCAACACTGAGGGATGTCAAGGCGGAGGAGGTGATTTTGGTTTTCGATGGAAAAGCAGGTCAGCAAACCAACATTGCTCAAGAAGATGCTCTGCGCACGGTGGATCTTGGAGAAGGACTGGAATCTGACGACTACATCAAGGAGGAAATTGAGAAATTTCTTCAAGACCCAAAGACCAGAAGGAAGCATCGAGTCAACTTGGTCTCTGCAGACAGAGAGCTCCGACGAAAGGCAAAGAGTTTCAAGCCCATTGTTCGGACCGTCGTGAATCCTGTCACATTCTTCAAAAAGTACCTTCCGAGATTGAAAGGACTCAAGGGCCCAAACGACAACCTACCCCAAAGTGATGATCAGGAATATTGAGGCATACCGCTATCAATAAGCAGGATGATGAGAGATGAAATATCAGTTTTCAAAAAGTGGGCCAACGGGCGACTAGATAACATGTTAGTGGTACCGAACGCTGTACAAACAAAACAATTTCAAAATGTCCCATTGACATTCACCAATCCATCGACAATAGACGATACTAAACTGAACAACCATTTCTAAATATCTGCTTCTTGAGTCGGAATGAGAACCACTCCTTCTTCGAAACCAACATGCTTTGACCCGCCAGAGCCGACTCGCGAAGGGGTCTCAGACATGACAAGCTTTGCCGATGAGGAGATTTTCTTTCCAAGGAACTCGGCCCTAGCTTCGGCCTCGTCTTCAAAATCTAGAGAGGAGACGGATTTGTTCTCAGCTTCCATGTCAGTCAGTTCTTGGATCATTTGTTCGCGCTCGTTCTCTTTCTTCTCTTCCCATAGCTTCAAAAACTCCGAGTAGGAGATCTTGTCATGCTTCCCGCCGGTAGCTTCCTTGATGATATCATCGATTTCATTCGATTCAAACCCATCTCCCAAAATCTCCTTGAGATTGGCAGCTGATATGTACCTGTTGGTCATATATATTATGCAAGTCAACCTGTTAGGACAATACAATGGTGAAGAAAGCCAGCACTGCAATGACAGGTAGTACTCACCCGCTGTCGTCGCAATCCAACCTGTGATTCGATTCGATGCGACAGCATGCAGCAAGTGCAGTAAGAAAGAAGAGCAAAACAGAAGGGAAACGCAGTCAATGCGACCAATTGAGCTAGATCCGATTCAGCCCATAAACAGCCCATAGGTTAGCGGAAGATAGTTACCTGTCAAAAGCTTCTGCTAGGAGCTCCTCGCGAATTGCTCCATGCAACTCCAACGTTGCAGCAAGGAATTCCTGTGTGAATTAGGCTGCTTGTAAGGCACGATAACGATACGACTCTTTGGCACAATGGGCACTAACGAAGCACGACTTACGGTGTACCGAATGTGGCCCGAACCATCGATATCCTGTCGATTGGTTGTACAGAGTGCAAGGCGTGGCAAGGTTAGACGTTAATCTCGCGGAAATATAGCTGGACCACACTGCTAGAGGGAGGCGTCCTAGAAGCACACTCACCACTGCCTCAAAGATAGGTTTCAGTTGCTCTTCTGTGTAACCTGACGATGACAAGGCATCGACAAACTCTTGGTATGTGATGTCACCGCTCTTGTTGGTATCGTACTTGGAGAAGATCTTTCTCAGTATCCCAATTTCTTCAGTGTTGGACTTATGGGCCACGACCATCATGGCCTTGGTGTTGCAAGAGAGATGTCGCAATACAATGGGTAAGCAGATTGCATCACTTCTAGAGAAAACTCGAGTACTCTCATCAGTGGTCGTACCACTTTTTTCAGTTTCGAATACCCAGCATACTTCAACAACGATTGTTGCGCCTTTTCATTTTCTTCTTCGTGGGGATTTCGAACGGTTTCCATTTGTCGTCTGTTCAGCCAGGTCGATCGGTACGCACAGTCGGCAGTCGCACGGTCATCACAATCCAACACCAAGAGATCCTCCACAAAAGCTTTGGCTTGCTTTGAGACACGTTTCCAGCGTCTTCCTTTGAAATTGTAACGACAGTTCATGATCAACTCAACGATGTGGCGTCTATGGGCAGAATCGAAAGAGACACAGAAGTGAGAACAACCATCTTCTCGATATTGGTCGTCCCGGTGGTCTTTCGTACCTCTTCTTGCCAAAGAAGGGCATTTGGGAACTCAAGAGCATGTATGCAAGTACACCCACAGACCACAAGTCAGCAGCCTCTACGTGCGTGACGAGACGAAAAGACCGCAGGAAAGAGTTGAGCAAACGGGACGCAAAGCTAGCTGAGTGAACCCAATTCGCCCCATTCACTTGATTACTCACCCGTGTAGTTGCCCTTGAGCACTTCAGGTGCCATTGTGTAGCTGTATAGAATAGATTGTTTGTCACGTGTATTGTTGGAGACGAAAAGATAGGCAGGAGCATCATCATTGTAGATTGTCGCATACAGAAGGTGGACAATGAGAACAATGTCCATTGTACCACTTTATCCGCTACGTATCAACAAGCAGACTTACATCGTACCGACACCTTCCATGAGCTCTTCATCCTTTCCATACCTCTTGCTAAGTCCAAAGTCAATCAACTTGATCTCTGCCTGCGCCGAGTCATTCACAAACAAGACATTCTCATATTTTAAGTCTGCGACAGAAACGATGGAAAGAAGAGGATGTGAGAAAAGAAACGGAGCTCTATTTTCCGAGGCATTGACCACCGACCTCGATGAATGATTTGTCTCTGGTGCATGTAACTGATTGCACTGAGGATTGAGCTGATGATCCTTGCAGCCTCATCTTCGGTGTACGGGTCGCGAGAGTAAAGATCGCCTCCACTACATGACTCCATGACTAGTGTCAACACATAGAAGGCGAATTGTCAAATAAGGAAACAGCCAAAAGATTGTGATGAGGCATCGCGTGGTCGACCTGAAAACAATGGTAGGAATTTGACATGACTTGGCTTACTGATAAAGATTTGATGTCTGGAGTTGCAGTAGCAAATTTTAAGAAAAATGATGAGTCAAACATTTAGTAGCAACTTTTCCACGTGTCTCAAAAGTAGAATGCCAAGCTCATCCCCATACCTACCTGTGTTCAAAGGTCTCAATGCAACGAACAATATGGGGATGATCCAACGCCTTCAAGACTGACACTTCATTCCGCAATTCTTCCACAAAAGTTTGGTCTGTAACTCTGCTCAAATGAATGGATTTCATGGCGTAATTCATCTCATACTTTTCCTTCTTGGGTGTCTCCAAGGAATCGCCGCTTTCATTGCTGCCACCTACGGGTTTGAAGGGGCTCGACTTGCTACCCAAAGAAAGTAGGTTCCTCACAGAGCTGGTAGACGATGAATTGTTCAATTGTTGCTCATGATTCCCCAGCGGATTCCACAGACAGTGCTTGGCAATCCATCCAACGACGGGCACGTTGACACAATCTTGCATTAGTTTTTCTCTCCGGAAAGTTCCTTGAAGAGATTTCCGTGCCGACCCTCCCACCACTTCGTCACGTTTTCGAACCTTAACGACGGATCCCATGGAACCAACACCAAGGACCTTCTGTACTTCATAGTAGAACAGGGGATCTCGATTCTTGTGATCTCTCGTGAGGTTGGAGCGAAGGACCGAGGAACGGAAGGAGGTAGAATTGTTGGGAGACGCTTTCTTTGTCTGAGAGATGACTGCGTTGGGATCCACAGACCGATCGCTGTGAGTCACTGATGTGTCGCTGAAGCTAACACCACTCTGTGTCGTCATCGTCGACGATAGCTTATGTATACTACTACAAGATCCTGATAACTCAGATTATTTGTAGTCTTTAGGAGGAGAGGGTACAATTGCGACACGGAACCATGCCCATTGGCTTGCTACCAATATCTTTGAGGGCTCTGCAGCCTGGTCCACATCCCGAAAAGGGGCTCTGGAAGGTTGCACGGCAGTTTAATCCCGGTTAGACCGCGACTGCTGTCACGTCACCTGGACTGCAATCTTCCAAAGCCCCACCATCAGCTACGGTAGCCAGCAAGTAGCCCACCACACAGACGTCGATGTTGATCCAGGCAAGAGCCTAGTGAAGAATTGATAGTAAAGGTTTGTTATTATCGATTATGAGCTTGGCAACTGTCCCAAACTGGAGCACACAGGCCCAGCTGGGGAGTGCCAACTCTAACAGCTGCTAACGGTTTTCTAGCCTGTGCAATACACGGCTCTTAGCCTTATTCGCGACTCGATCCTAGATAGGGTTTGAGTTCGACTCATGACTGAGTCTCTCGTGAATAGTCATTGAGACAGGGTTCTCATGACCGCTAGTCATACTAGGTCGATGGTGAACCATCGCGCTAGATATTTAGCTGGCGTGGAGAGATTCCACGCTACTAGATAAATGCTAGACGAATGCACGAATCTTCCACGCGTTCCGTTTTTGGATCGTGGAACAAGTAGGATTACTACCACAACCTACTCTATCACACTTTACAGTCTCCCGCGGGAGTTCAGATCTACGATCCCTTGATTGTGATCTCTCTCGTTGATTAGTTTTCATAGCTTTCTAATCCTCTCATAACTTTCATTCTCTCAAACTCAAAACACTCGAAAGATCTTTACACTAGCTTTTAGCGTAGTGCACCTGTCTTGTGGGAATGCAAGCAGGGTGAGATACTTGGGGGCAGCTGTGCATCTTTATAGTGATTGGGATCTGGTTCAGGACTCAAAGACTTAAGGCTCACTGTACCAGATCAATACAACCTCACACTATGAAGTGTGCGTGTGCTCTTGGAGCAATTGTTTGTCATTGCTTTTGTTGTTGTGGATGTACTTGTGCCTTTCCGCTTTGTGATGTGAAGCGGGATGGTGCTTCGTAAAATAATCCGCTCTATTCGTTATCCCTGGTCTCCAGTAGATGGCGAATTATCCTTGTTCAATGCGATCCTTTAGCCAGTAAAATCTCACGTGAATGGCTTTGGAGCACTTTTGTTTGACTGTGCCAGCCAAGATTCCTTCTGCGCACTTGTTGTCCGTTTGGATGGGTGTTGCCGGCTGTGGGTGGCCCATTTCGATGAGTGTTTGTCGTAATGGACATGCCTCTTGGGCATTGTTGAATGCTGCGCCGACTTCCGCTTCAGCTGCTGAGCTAAGTACATTTTTCATGATTTTGGCCACCAGGTGGACTGCACCATTATTCGGGGCATTGGTTTGGCTGTCATTGCTTAGGAATAGGTAGCCTCCGTTCCTTGATCGGGCTTTCGGTGCTGATAGGTATGAAGTGTCCGAGTGCCAGTGCAGGATCATGTCACTGCTGTGATACCGAATGGTGGCATCTGGATGTGTTGCCGCGTAGTTTAGGAGCATGACAGTGGTATCTAGTGTTTTTTCGGTGCCTTGTGTCTGCTCGGCAGCGATGTCTCCCAATGCTACCAACATGGTGCTGTCGACCGCTCTGGCGTAATATAATAGTACCCCAACTACCTCCTGTACGTGTTTGATTGCTTTGGAAGATAATGGTGTTGATTGGTCGACTGGGTCGGTGTATTGAATGGGCTGTCCGTACTGGGGAATGTTCCATTTGTGGGGAGCATGCTGCTGCTGCTCTGGTTGCATGTGGTTGAATCGCTGTAGTGCTCGCTGGATGTAGCCAGGCATGGATAGGTCGACGGTGCGGTTCGTGTAGTCCCATGCCAACGTAATTCCACAGTAGAGCTCTCCTGCCCAGTCGGTTGTTATTTTATATGCTCGTGCCAAGGTGGTGTCGATGAGATGTTGGGCATTCTCTTTGCCAACGTATTTTACCCCAAAGTCATCTACCACCAATGTGAAAGTGACTTGGCGGTGCTCATGATGGAAGAGTCCGTGTATGTGTTTTGACTGGTGGTAGCCGTGTTGCTGGAGGTGTGTCACTAGGGCGTCATTGGCGATACGTCCCGCCTATGGTAATCCGTACATGCCGCGGTTGATCTCTACCATTACATACCCGTTGTGCACGAGGTCGTGGAGCTGATACTGGTCCATTATCTCCTCTGGGATGATATCTGCTGGGATGCGCATGTACTCAGCTCGTTCCATGGGAGTGTTCAGATAAAAATCTTTGATATCGATAGACATGAACTTTGCTCCTGGTGTCGAGACTACACTGTTCAAATTAAGCTTGACTGTTGTCAGGGAGGAGGATGTTTTCGTGCTCACATCAAATGGGTATTCAATGCGATCGCCTCCTACCGTGAATCGTACTCTTCTCTTTTCAGTTTTCTGTGGTCTGTCATCACATACTAAACGCAAGTAGGTTGCCTTTCGGCCGTCTGGTACCTTCATGTCGGCAATGAACTTGATGGTTTCCGTGCCTTTCAATCCAGTTGATGCTTTGCCTTGTGCCAATCTGCCGATTTCATTGCAGCATGCGTTGATCCAATGTTCCCCATCTGACGATGCTTTCAGCACTTTGTAGTCTGAGAGGACCCCGGTGTCTGGGTTGATCGGGTTGGCGGATCGCGCTTCGGTTGGTGTTCCACTGCCGCGCGATTGGTTTGTTGGTTGTTCTGATTCGTCACGGTTGTTGCTTTTGACTTGCTTCTGCTTTTGTGGGACGCGATGGTTGTGTACGTTGGTTCTACCCCCAGCACCCTCAGAACTGCGCCATCGGGTCTGGCTGCCTGTTCTGGGTTTCCATTTGCGTTTGACTTGTTCGCGGTTGCGTCTGGTGGCGAGACAGTAGTGTCGTGTAGGCGTTTGTCGAAGATCGCGGCTAAATCCATCAGTGTTGCGACCTCGCTTCCGGTGAGAGTCTGTGATGCTGGTGTTGTTTGTGGGTTTTGTAGTGCTGTCGCGATATCGCGGATGCCTCCTAACGCCATTTCGATTGGTGTTGGTTGTGGCATCATGAGTCGCCCTGGAAACCACGAGAGGGTATCGGCTTTGCGTTCTCTTTGAGTATCCCATATCCAGATTCGAAAACACCGGGAAGCCTCCATTTCTGGGCCTATATACCAGCCGTCTTTTCCTTTTGGTGCCCACGTTCCCCTTTCATTTGGTTTCTCATGTACAACCACATGGATTCCAGGCGGTGCAATCGGTGTTGACATAAAGTCGTAGTTGCCGAATACTTGGGCATGTGCTGATAGGGCTGGGTTGATTCGCGATCCCCTCATGAGGTTGAGTGTGATGGTGCATTGTGGGATGAGTCGATCCCATAGATGCAACAGGAAGTTACTGTCGGTGGTGCATAGTCCAGCAATTAGGTGGTTCTTGTATGTTTGGATGGCTCTTTCGGCTGCGTTTCGTCGATGGATTCCTGCGGGTGTAGTTTGCAGTGCTATGCCTTCTGCATGGATGTGTTCCTTGAGCAGTTTGGAGAATTCGTTGTCGAGCATGTGTAGCTTGGGTCGGAGGCCGCCTCTGACTAGTTTATTGTGGATGTTTGTCCAAGCTTTGATGTGAGCTTGTGCAGTGCGTGTTTGCATTGGCTCGGCATGTATGGAGTTGCTGTCATAATGATACAGGATGAAGAGGTAATTGTTGCCATTGCTAGATGGAATGAAGAAGCGTCCTGTTTGGTCGGAGAACGATTTGCCTGATGGTTGGATGACTGCCAAGAAGCATGCGTGTTCGTGTGTGGTGTCGCGAATCTCTTCGTGTGCTGGGAAGTTGTTCGTGTCCTGTTCTTCCGGTAGAAGGGGCAATGGTTCGTTTTCCGTTTTTGTGGACTTTATTCCTTGCCTTTGTTGGTTCATGTGTCCTTTTGCTGTGGCGATGGCGTGTGGTGTGTGCCTCGCAAAGGATGCTGCTGTCAATCCTGGGAAGTTTTGAATGTACCCTTTCTTGAGGGCCGATTGGAGGGTGGAGGGCACTGGAGAGAACAATGCTGCGTGCGCAAACGCTACTAAGTCTGCCGGTGTTGCTGTTGGTGTGGTTGCCATGTAATTAGCTTGGTTTGATGTTGGTGTGTTCTCTAGCTCAATTTCCCAAAGTTGATTAGTTGCGGGGTTGCGAGAGCCAGTTAAGATTACATCGCCCATGAAGGTGATGTGGCAACTGTGGGCTCTGAATAATGCCTCACATCCAGCATCGCATAGTTTGCCGATGGAGAGGAGGGAAGTGTTGCCTAAGGAAGGAAAGAGATGGGCTTCTGTTGCCACTTTGGGAAGATTTGGGAGGTCTAAATGACATGTGTGGGTCGACGTGATTGTTGTCTTGTCTGGGAGTGTGACCTTAATGGGTTTGTTTGCAGCTCTTACATCCGTGATGTTTTCATTGCTTATGGCAATAAAGTCGGTTGACAAGAAGTGTCCGGTGCTGCCTGTGTCTACAATATGTGGTGCTACGGCGCTGTTTGCTGCCTGCTGTAATGTTTCTATAAATTTTTTCGGGGGACCATTCGGTGGTATATATTGTTTTTTTAACATGTCCGTCTCTATATTAGGTTCTTTATCTGCGCTATTAGATTTGGTTGTGCAATACACGGCTCTTAGCCTTATTCGCGACTCGATCCTAGATAGGGTTTGAGTTCGACTCATGACGTAGTCCTTCGCGAATAGTCATTGAGACAGGGTTCTCATGACTGCTAGTCATACTAGGTTGTCGATGAAACATCGCTCTAGATATTTAGCCGGCGTGGAAAGCTTCCACGCTACTAGACAGCTACTAGCTGAAGTTTCCACGTGTTCCGGAAATGGACCGTGGAGTACGTAGAGTTATTGCCATAACCTACGATATCACACTTCGAGGCCTCCCGCGGGAGACCAACTTCAATGAGCTTCACAACGATCTCTCTCATGGATTAGTTTTCGTAGCTTTCTAATCTCTCTCATAACCTTCATTCTCTCAAACTCAAAACACTCGAAAGATCTTTACACTAGCTTTTAGCGTAGTGCATTTGTTAACAAACACAATAGCTTTCAGCTACCCTCAACCTATTCCTTCACCATGAAGATTGCTCAAGGAAAGCATGCGTTCACCAACTTCGAGAAACAGT